AAACAGCTTACAGTAATTTTTCATGTTTTCAACCTCATGACATTTTGTTTTTCATATCTGTATTAAGCAAGTGGAGTTGAAAGTTACCATAGGTCATAGGCTTTTGCTTATTTCCTGAAAGACTCTAATGCTGTATTTCCTTCTTTTTCATAAGGGAATAAAAGCTGTTTAAATCACTCGGTGTACAACCAACCATTTTCATAAACTCTAAATTCAGAGTAATAACAATTCAGCCAACTAATATATGTCTTAAATGGATTACTAAAGCATGTTTACCTTCAAGCTAATCCTATTCTAATGTAGTTCTTTCAACTGGAAGTTTTCTCTCTAGTCTGGATTGAATTTTGCTCATTTCAAAACTTCACTATGGTTGGAGAGAGAAAGAGGAAGAGAGGAGGGAAGAAGAAAGGGAAGGAAGGGACACTACTTGTTTCTAAAGATCGTGCATGCACTTGTAACTTGACTATGCCAGGAAACCGAACCTGTTGTTTCAAGAGTTCCTGCTACCTTACCATCACCCACTTACCTTTTCTGATCCTCTCAGTGCAAGGTTGTTATCAGGAGAGGCACAAGGCAGATTTTTATTTTATTTTATTTTATTTTTATTTTTTTTTTTGTGCCTGGAGTAGCACAGTGCTGTAACCTGTGCAGGCCACATGGTTGTTCAGATCAGACATGATTCTGTGTCTGTGCTGTTACCTCTGGAAAGCATTTGCATCTCACACACAAACCAGGGAGTTGTTGCTTTTCAACTGAAACAATCATAGAAAATACAAAACAGAACCGTATCGCTGCACCATGTTATTCAAATGAGAGGTCAAATTACCCCCACTGATGTAAGCAGGGTTGCCAAGGTCTAAATGAAGACACAACTTGGCCAAAGGTCTGTTTCTAATGTGAGTTTTGAGGGCTGGTAGGTCTTGCATCTAATATCAAACAGCTGCAAGGCAGTACCAGCTCCACTGGAAAGTACACACACATTTCTAAAAAAACACAAACCCTTCCCAAACAAAAGCATAAAACCCAACAACCAAAAATTTTAATGTATTACTTAAACCTTACCAGCAAAAATTGAAAGTATAATTGCTCATTGTTGCCTGCTATTTTAGGCTGAGTTCCCTGTATAAGATTATTTAGGTGCATTAGAGCATGCTAAGATATCTCAGTTTAACGGCCGTGTTGCTTCTCCCCCTCACTGCTCCCATTCACACAACCTGACCCCTCAAGGGCCTTGACAAAACTGAAAACTCAGTTTTTATATCATATGCACCTCTGTAGATCTGTGGCAGTTTCTCTTAATTTGCATTTGCTAACAAAAAGCAAGCCCAAGGTGTACATTTGGTGTACTGTTAGCATGATCAAGAAGACAGCTCGTTTATTAGTCCTTACAGTTTCATTTTGCAGTGCAGCTTTTTGTGTCCTAGGATTACATGAGCAGACACTTTTACAACTATAATCACTCGGGAACTCAACGGCAGACATAAATATGAATACATTGTTCAGAAATTGTTAATGGTTAGCAAATTTTTTTTTTTTTTTTCCGAATTACTGCCAAGCTTCAAAACTGCACGTGTCATCTTATCATGTACTATACATTGGTCATTTAAGGCCATTCTGCCCTATGGGTATTATAAATTGCAAACATGACTTTTTGGAAACTATAGTGTAATTTTTATGATTATCGGGCTTGGTTTCTAAGTCAACGTAGTTGACTAAGATGTACCAAAATGTACAAGTTCAATAGCTTTTTCCTTATTCTTTGCCACTTCTCAGTCCCCTACCTGAACAAGAAAGAGAGATCAAGTCATTTGATAGGTAGCTGAGCATCTAATGCTGTCCAAACCCTCCACAAAATCTGTAGAGTAAATGCATGATATGCCCTTTTTCTTTCTTTTTTTTTTTTTTTTTTTTTTTTTTTTTTTTCCGTATGTAACCAGTACAGAAGTTGAACTTAACACAGCTTGCAAGTTAGCCATGAGAGAAACATTATTTTTTTACTTATCAGGTATTGGCCATAATAAGCTTGAAGCATGTAAATACTAATCTGAAAACACAGTTTTATGAATCTTTCTTCTGCTGTATAGCTATAGTTTTGCAGTTCAGCTCTTGTCCACTTGCTATATGAGGTTGCTCTTAGATTGAGTGTCTTATATGACATTTTTTAAGGTATCAGCCCATTGCAAGCCTTCCCACCTGCTTGAAAACAACTGAAAACAACTGTGCTGTGCTATAACGATGTTCAGTGCTTCTTCCCCCCCCCTTTTTTTTCCCCCAACCAAAATAACGAGACAATCTATCAGCAGCCACTCTCCAACTTTCCAAATTCCCAAATCACCAATGGAAATGTAAAGACATGAGGACGCTTGGTGTGCCATAACTTAATCAAATTTCTTCTCCCAAGTACACTGTTTGGGGGCTTCTGGAAACTTTTTCTAATGTCACCTGAGAAATAGAAGCAAAATGTTGGTATCCAGGTGAAAGCTTTGAATGTAACTTTCAGAGATAATTCTATCTATTTATAGGTAGGCAAGTGGATCAGAAAAGAGTCGTATATTACATGCAGACTGTATTTGTGAGGTACAAACGAGCTGTGAAGAAAACACGAGCACAGTGTTATAAATGAAGATACAACTCAATCTGAATTTAGTGATATTTATAAAAGGCAAGTAAACAGCACTGGGTGCTTGGGGAGTCTATACTAACACGCACACACGAACATCAAACTTTGTACAGAACATTGCTTTTACATACTAAACCCGAGTAGACCTATACATATGTAAAATCAGAAAAGGTATCAATTGAAACATAAGCATGGCAAAGTTTTAAAAGGCAAGTGTTTAACAAACAATCCTTTAAGTCTATTACTATTAATGTCCATAACTGGGGGAACATAGTCGGAGTTGGTAATCTTGGTTGAACTGCTCCCATATTTTCCATGACTTCATTAATTTTTCTTAGATTATATAACAGTCTCCATTTTCCATTCATTTTCTTGATTACAAACACTGGAGAGGGGCTAGTTGTGGGAGCAATATGTCTCACTTTAAGTTGTCAAGCAACTCGGCCTTCGGGCCTTATGATTCGGGCCCCCGATTGAAGGGAAACATTTCCATCTCCTTTTCAAGGCCAATAGGGCCTGGGTCAAAAGACATATCCAGGTCACCAGGGGGCGTAACGGCAAAGGCCTGCGATGGCAGTAGCGGTGCAGGGGCCACTGGTGTAGCAGAAGGATCTGTGGATGAGCCTGCAGCACCCTCACTATCTGGCAAATCACACGTTTGACTGTGGTCCCACATGGCTCTTTAAGGCCTCAGAGACTGCTCACCAGGTGTCGAGCAATCCCACCGCAACCTTGTTGTTTTTTGTTTCAGAGTCCCACACGTTGACCTCAATTTTGTCCCATATTTCAGGATCATAAACTGATTGTTAATAAAGGGAATAAACTGTAAGGTTACCAGGACAATCTTTGTTTTTAAGGACGTATGATTCCCCATCATGCACAACTGTTTACCAGCGAGAGGCAGTTGTGTGCACGGGTCCGCTTCTCTCAGCTTGAGCTTCTTCCCAGCTCTGGTGTGCTTATTTCCAGTCCCTTTCTGTAGGAGCTTCTTTGAGCAGTTTGCTGAGTTTGGCCAAACCTATCTTCATGAGGTGATCAATGTGCCTGTTCCTGTCTTGGTCCCTGTTCTGCTAGCCTGTCCCTATTCATTCCTTTTCTCTACTTCTTTATTGATGACATATCTTCATTATTTTGTGTTGCCTTTTTTCATCTTGAGGACAGGCTCCCCTCTTATACCCTTTGCCCCACAGCAGTTGTTTTCAAACAACTTTTCATTGGTCAAACAACTTTGCCTGGCAACAGCAAACACCCAGCAACTTCCATGCCTTATTGGAGAACAAGCAACCCCAGATGGCATGGCATCTCCTGAATCACCCTTCTTTGTTCCCTCTAAACTCTTTGCATTCCTGATGGCCTCATCGTTGAGTCTGATGTTATCACCAACCATGGGGCTTGTCAACCCCCATGGCTACACTCCCACATCTCCCCCTTCTTTATCAATATCAACCATCTTCTTGACGCGAATTATTACTCCATTTATCAAAACAGGAAGGTTTTATTTATTTATTTATTTATTTTGAAAAAAAAGTACTGTAATATCTCAAAGCGTAGAAGATTAAAGCAGTATTTCCAGCCATTCTACTTGTATAAATTATTGTGTATATAAATCCAGTTGCACTGGAAGTTAGAGAGACCATTTATTTCACAAATACTCATGCTATCCCAGGAAATGAAAACAGGATTGTGGAAATGATTATTAAACATCACACTTTAGGTTTCAAGATAGCTCCAGTTCCTACGGACCAGCCATGGCCTAGTTCTGGGAGACAAACTAGGTTCTGTTGAAGTGGCTCATGCCAAACAGGACACTATAGCAGCAGGCTGCTTTCCACTACATCTTGAGTAATAAACTCTGTTGTCTTCAGTCCATATTCACAGTGTGTCAAAGTCAGTACTTCCTTGCAGCACTGGTAAAATAGGATGGTGCTGCCACAAGAACGGGGTCTGGCTTGGGTGGTTTATGTTGCTGGGCTGTAGTTATGATGGAGATTCCCAAGCCACCTCTGCTCGTGCTGGCTGCAGCAGTTCAGGCACTGCTGTAGATGAAGTAGAGAAGGAAAATGTGTCTTGATTTCCCAGGTACCTGCCTGCTTTGCTTATGCCTAGATCTGGTCTTGCTTCAAGAAGTCAAACAGTCTGGGAAGACGGAATGGGACTTCTAATTGTTGATTGGCTATGTCACTAACATAGCCTGATCTTTAATGTTTAATTTTAACTAGAAATGCAAGGTACAGTCAGATGGAAACTGCTTAAATAAGAGAATGAGCTAAGAAAGATTGCTGATCCTCCCACAACCATGGGAAATGAATCCTTAATATGAATGAACAATGATTCATAAATATCCCTTCCTCACCTTACTATCCAGGAGTGTTCCCAAAATACTTTTTCTCAAAGTATATTTTAACTGTGAAAACAAAAACAACAACAACAAACCATTCACATTCTCTGTGTATTATGGTTTTTGAAACCATCAGTCTTTTGGCAGTAATTCAATAAATGTGCTATCGCCTCTTTAAAACCAAACCATCAAAATGTGCTTGAAATTGCAGCTGTGTGCTGGGTGTTTTCTGATTTTCTTTGAATTGGTCTGACCATCCCCATAAGCCATGTAATGAGAAAAGAAACCAGCAAACTGCTGAGAAATAGTACAGAATGTTCTTTCTGGTTGGGAACTCATATTTTTACATATATCAAAAAAAAATGGGGCTGTCAGCTGAATCAAGGTTAGGCAATCCGTATACAGAAATCAGATTTTTCTTTGATGCTTGCGGTCCTTGAAGAGTATCATCTGTTTTTGGTAACTGCTGACTTGAGAAGGTATTATGCTATTTTTGGTTACACTTGCACCTTTTCTTCTTGAATACTAACACAATTTATTAGTGTTTTTCTATACTTAGTGTTCTTTTGATTGATATGTTGCTCTGATAAGTTGAGGAAATTTTCTGGTTACAGTTAAATAACACTGAATGTGTGGATATGATTCATTTCTGTGCTGTTTTCACTTTTACTCTAATTTTACATTAGTGCAGATCCATAAAAGAAACTAGACTAGCATAAAAGCAGAAAAGTTTCAGTAAATCAAACAGATATGCAAAGCAGAAAATATAGTAGTTTTTAATGAGATATGAAATTGCTTTATGTATTATCTAAATTAATATGGAGTGTATATCTTAATAGAATTTATATAATGATACAAATCACACTGTAAGAGTTATATTACTTACTTTGAGCAAATGCTTAAAAAAAAACCTGCCTATATTTTAAAGCTGTATTGTTGTACTAGTACTGTACTAGTCAGTTTCTGAAAGTTTGTCCTTTTGAAAAGAAACGTCTCTGTTACAGCAGCCTATTTTTATTTTTTTTTTAATTCTGTTTATCCTAAACTGAATCAGCTTACATTCACTCAGGCCAAATAATTTTCAGTGGTCAGCTTTCTTATAATGCCTTCACTATGTAATAAAAATCTAGTAGAAAACAGCAACACCTCTCATTAGTTCTGTGAGTGGAGGAGGAACCTGTCACCTATTAAGCTATCAGAATTAAAACTAAATCATTAGGGAGTAAACAGTTATCTTCCTTTTCAGTATTTGCTCTCTGATGTAATGAGGACGGTGTGCTGACATACTGCTTACATTGTTTACACAATTTACAGAAGGAGTCACTACCCAAGCAGAGCAAAAACTAAACACTGGTATAAGATTTTGTTAAAATCCAGACTTTGTTTTGCTCATGTTGCCAACCCAACATCCTGCCGTGGTGTGTCTTTGCTATTGTAGTCTTTTACAGACTGAGCCGCTATTTAATAGATTAATTAAAGACTATGCAAAGTAATTTATTTGTGTTTCTTTCCCACGCTTTACTCTTCATAGCTTGTGATGTACTTCTTGTGGCAGTGTATGAGTGGTCTGTAAGGAAATGAGAATACCTTTCCCTCGGTCATGGGCTGAGGACTTTTGTGAATCGCTTAAGTGGTGCCAGTTGTGCTATCCCAGTCCACGTCTCTCCTGGGGCTCCCTTCTCCTGCCCCACATGTGACTGCTCATCAGTGCTCCCAGGGAATTTCATCCAGCCTACAGCCTGACTCCTGTAAGTTCTTGAATGACTCCCAAAGGAGAGGAGTATCATTGATTAATTGCCCCAGCAGTAGCAAACTTATCTTAGCTGCTGTGTTTTCAGCTGCAGTTCTGGGTTGTTCAAAGGTACTCCAAGCTGGTGCTGTGGAGAGTATCTGTAGGAATGGAATGTATACACATTGCGGATCTCCTGTCACTTGTTCTCAGTCTAGGAGGACAGATGTGTGCAGCAAAAAACTTTCTGCTTCACAGAATTGGACTTCCCGTTTTAAGTTGTGTCTGAGGTTCAACCAGATGCCCTGGGAGGGAAGATAGTATATAGTACTTCTTTGTCTGTGCCAAAAGTAACATTGTCCTCCTACCAGAAAGCATGGTCACCATATTCGAAGTAATGGGAGGAAACTGGGACAGTAACTGTTCCTGAAGGTTATTAAGATGCTGTGTTCAGGGAACATATAGTTTATAAGTGGATCTTACTATGAGTAATATTTCCTAATTAACCACAGGGATGCATGAGCTTTGCAGACTGAGCATAGGAAATGTCCCAGGTCTGGTTTTAATCAAATTTATGTTGTTGTGAATTGCTTGCTTTTTCAAAAATGTTACAGGGGTAGCCAGTCTTAAGAGTTTCCCAGGGGGCATGAATATACTTCCAGTCATGTCCATATAACATCTCTGGAGCTGTACCTGCGTTTCTTAGGAAAAGATTTTACATAATTAGAGCATGCTTCTGAGTGGACAAAGGAATGGTGGATGATTTCATTACTGCTTTAGATCTCCTTTTAGGCTTTTTAAGCTTGTTGGGGGCTGTCCTTCCAGTCCATGTAGACCCTGGTGGGTCATGAATCTGGAAACTGCACTTGGATGCAGTTGAGAATGGATTTGTAATAATAAAAACCTTCAGCTCTTGAAAAAAAGTTTTATGAAATACTCCCTAATGGAAAATACTTCTTTTTTGTGTGTGGATCAGGCTAGGCTGTTGCTTTGTAGACATACACAAGCACACTAGTGAAGAACGTGGGAGCTGTCACTGTATGCTCTGGGTGTTGAATGTTGTAGGAATAGTAGTGTAGACAAGAACAGGGCAAGCTGTGTGCTAGTACAGCTGAAAGTATCGAGGAGGGAACAAAAATTGCTTTGTGGCTACCAAATTATTTTGGGTCAGATGAAGGCTATGTGTCAATGGACCTCACAGACAAGTCCAACACAATACAAGAAAGAGCAGCAATTAAGCAGAGATAATACATGAGAGGGTGTGTCTAGTATGCATTTTGTTCATGGCAAATCTACATAAATATTCGCATTACATCTGGGAGTTGGATAATGTTCTTCTGGCTTGTGCCTAATTCACCACCAAAAAAATGCTGGTCATTGTGTGACCTAGGGAGTATCTAATCTAAATACATTTACAATAATTGAAAACTTTAAAAAGTTGTGCTGAAGTTTTTCAGTGTTAAAAATAAAATCAGCTGCTGTCTGATAGCATCCTGAATATAATAAATAAGTTTTTTGATAAGTATTAACAATAATGTGTGTATATGTTTACATGTTAGATTGACATGGGGGGAGGGAGGGGGGAAGATTCTAATATGACTAGTAAATTTGGTAATTTTGACCAAAAGTAAAGATTTCCAAGACTAATCTATCACATTCATCTAGTCAGTGCGCTATTGAAGTGTCTGGCAAGATCAGGTTTGTTTGTTCTTGAATTGCAGTAGAGTTGTCTTTTTGTTCCACATGGTGGTTCTCATAGTACCTAGCACAAGCCAGGTCTCAGCCCACAGCTGTGACGTGGGAACACTACTGTAGAGTAAACAGAAAACACAATATTAGGGGTAGGATGGTCATGGCTTTGGGCTATACAACAACTGTCATTGCTATAGGAAGCTTTATGGTCTGAGAAGGTAAAGCAGACAGTGCAGAAGTCTTGACTGAGAGAAATATCCAGCAAAGGGCCCATGCCATGACATTGCAGGTTGCCACCTCCTTCCTCTCAAAAAATTAAAAAAAAAATAAATAAATAAACATAATAAAAAAAAAATGCAACAAGCACTTTTCCCACTTACTGGCATTTGGGGGTGAATGGTGAATTAGAAGTCCACATGATCTTGCCCTGGATCTACTGATTGAACCAGACATCAACATCTGTATGTTTATGCAGCTATGCCAATGCACCAATATTGTGAGGAGCTTGTGTAGTGGGCACCTGCTGAGCCAAAGATTTGAGATGAATAGCACCCATATTGATTTGTCTATAATGGAGTGGAAAAGAAAAATGTCCAGGTTTTGTTGCAGGTATTTTCATGGGGTATTAAATTGGTGGATTAGTTGCAAACAGCAGTACTGATAAAGTCTCCTGTCCATCTTGATGGTTGGGCCTTTCTATTAAAATGACACATAAATAACCTATTATGTCCCCCACCCATGGAAATTCAAATGCACCTGTCAAATTGATAAAGCACTTGCCTGGAGGGAAGCATTGTTTACATTTTCACTCCATTCTTCAGAAAAAGTGAGATTCTAATTATTTCTCCCACTGTAAATTAATGCTGACTATGATGGTTAGCGTATCTCTGTATTGTTATATCTGTGCAAAAGTTAAATAATAGAAATGATCCATCATGTATTATGCAATGTGCATTTTCACAACAGGCTTCCCTCTGATCTTATTACGCCTTTCTTCATAAATACTTACTTTTTTTTCCCCAACAGCTAGGGGAATCTTTGTTGATTGCTGGTTCAGAAGTTGAAATATGTCCTGTGTGAAAAGGAAAATACGATTTACGTGTTTATCAGATGCTAAACTCTGCTATCTTCCAAGGAGGAAAAAATAAGGATATAAAAGTACACTCCGTTAATAATAAGATTCATTATAATAGACAATTGGTCACAGTACACTAAACCATTTTCCTCCAAACCAAGCACATCAAATTCAATACTGCGATGCAATTGTTTCTGCATAAGTTGCATGGTTACTTCTGATTCAGGAAGGGCAAACCAGCTGAGGTGAAATCAGATGTGAATAGAGTCTTTCTTCCAAATGTGTAATCACACCACACTTTTGCCCAAGACTTGAACCTGAACCATAAACCATTTGTTAGGGTTTCAAGCAGTTGTTTTTTTACTATTATTGGTAATAATTTATTTTTTGTGTGTGTACTTCATGGGCTCTGCCTAAATGAAGACAGAACTCCTGAAAAATCAGAAAGGGAGCTGTTCTAGCAACACTTGTGACTGTGCTACAAGTGGGAAATATTATTGTCAGAAGTATTTTTGTTATCTGGTTTCTCAACTCAGGCAGGGAAAAAGATACTGCTTAGAGGTTCTTGGTATGCTCACAGAGCCCCAGGAGGCAGCCTGATCTTGCAAGTTTTCTGACAAGTTTTGCAGATCCAACTGGTTTGCATACCTCATTGAAGGCTTATGCAAACCACCCAGAACCTTTGACCCTTTGTCTGCTTACCACAGTGGATTTCTGTATTTCCAGAGAAGCATCAGTGCCAGGCATGGTTAAAATATTTGTGAGATTCAAAAAATAAAACCATACTGCAGAAAAAAAGAAAGAGTAAGCTCACAATAAGAAAATGCCTTTGCCACTGAGGCACTTTTGGACTAGACTCTCTTAAGCTTGCAATTAGGCTGCTGGCCATATGGAGGCAGAATAAAAGAGCCTTGGGGAGAGGATGAGTTGGGGTTAGTGGGGAATGCCAGTATGGACCACAAAGGAAGACCAAGCTCTTTCAT